GATAAAGGTAAAGAAGGAGGTCAAGAGAGGTGGGACCATAGGAGAAGGGTATTATTAAGGTAGAAATGGGAAAAAACAGGGGCACCTTAAATGGGGAAACCATGGTGGAAGGGTTAGACAATGTGAGATATAAACAATGCCTAGCTAGTTTTAGAAAACCAGAGGGAACCATATTAGACCAACAACCTACTGACAAATTATATTCTTTGACCAGATCAAAGAATGTAATATAATCCTAGGCAAGGTTTATCTGAGAGCATTTGGTCTTTGCCCAAGCTCTATCTACATGGCATATGGTAATTAAAAGTACCAGACTGGTGGAACTAACCTTCTTGGATGTTTAACAGACATACTTTGAGGCCTATACTAATTTGGTCAGAGGGACATAAAGGACAGTTTTTCCTCCTTGCCCTCCTAGGTCAACTAAGTTCCAGGAGACTATGAGCATCTCTCAAAATGTCCTGTAACTGTGGTGAGTCACCTGTCCTCTTGAGGCTGTGGAGACCCCCACCAGATGGACCTGAACCAGTGTCCAGTCTACAAAGAGGAGAGTCAACACAGAGGATACATTTCCTCTATGCTTCCAAGAGAAGCCAGCCATGGTCGAGTAGGACCTTTGACTTATCTTCACATAGGCGGACCTGGTAAAAGAAAGGAGCCAAAGGCTCCTCCCAAGCCCATGTTACCCCTAAGGAACAGATCCTCAAATGACCTTAAGAGTAAAAAGAAATTATTTTATCTGGGCTAACTATAGGGTCTTAAACACCCAAAAGGAAAGTATAACCAAAGATTAATGGGGTCAATATAATTTTTAAGAGTCCATATGTATAGCTAAAGGCTACATAACAAGAAACAATGCTAGACAGGAGATTCCTTCCTTCGAGTTAATGGCCAAGGTGGCGCAAGAGACTCCCAGACAGTAACCCAGTATAGAATTGGGAAAATGAACAGCAGATCCCAATCTTATCTAAAGGAATATTGACAACTGGTTGCTGCTAGATGAGGAACAGCTGATCTTCCTAAAACAAGGATCTCTAGATAGGCTGACTAGATTCAACAGACAGAGAAGCACTGGGGAATGGCTGGGGGTGTCAACAACACAGTGGACAGTAACAGGGATGACAGAGCATATGGGCTCCAGTATGTGGGAGTGGGGAGGCTATGGGAGGGTACCATTTGGGAAATGGGTATATATATATATATATATAGAGAGAGAGAGAGAGAGAGAGATGAATAAGATTGGGTGGGATGTTCTGTATGATACGCACACAGAAAAATCAACAAATTTTAAAAAAAGACATTTTTGAAGAGGAAGCATAAAAATTTAACTTCACGTTAAATACTAGAGGTGATAAACATTATCAGTGAAATATACCTGATGACTTTCTATCCATACTCAGGTACTAAGGATCCGGGTGTAACCGACTGTGACTAGTAGTCATCAGATACATAGAGATTAAAGACACATGTGCAAACATCTATGCATTAGCATTAAAAATGTAGGAAACAGTGTATTTTAAAATGGAATGGAGATCTTCTTTAAAGGGTAAAAACTCATTCAATTTTATATCTTACAGGGTTTTATATTGAGTTCAAAATTGTATAACTGTATTAATTCAACTGTGAACCTAAAAATTTACAGCCACTTTTGAAAAAGATGTATCCTTGCTCTGGAGTGTGTTACTATATATGTTAAAGCTGTTAATAAAATGCTTCTTCTAATCAGGTGGTTATTAAATTTTAAAAAATTTAAAAAAAATTTTTAAAAATCTTCAACGCATAAAAATTTGCTCCTTAATAATTAGTACATGTGAAAAACATTACCACTGAAATCTACCTGATGACTTTATATCCATGCTCAGATGCCAAGGATCTCAGAAAGTAACCAACTGTGACTAGTAATAATCAGATATATAGGGATTAGAAACAGATGTGCAAACATCTTAAGAGTTAATTGCATTAAAAATGAGTTTTTCTAGGCCAGGCATGGTGGTGCATGCCTTTAATCCCAGCACTTGGGAGGCAGAGGCAGGCAGATCTCTATGAGTTCAAGGCCAGCCTGGTCTACATAGTGAGTTCCAGGACAGCTGGGGCTACAGGGAGAGACTCTGTCTCAAAAAAACCAACCCTCCCCCCCCAAAAACAGAGTTTTTCTGTATAAAACTGTATTTTAATAAGGAAATGGAAATCTTTTTTAAAGGTTAAAGCCTCATTTAATTTTATGTCTTATAGGGTTTATTCTGAGTACAATATTGTATAACTGTATTAATTCAACTATAAACCTAAAAATTTACAGCCAATTTTGAAAGAGATACATCTTAGCTCTGGAAATTGTTATTGAATACGTCAATGCTGTTGTAATGAAATACTTCTTCTAAGTATGTGGTTATTAAACAAATAATTTTAAAAATTAAAAAAAAAAAACCTTTGTCATGTGCAGGGAAGGCACAAGAGAAGGCGGGCAACAGTAATAAACAGGTGAAAATAACAGAGTATCAGGAGGCAGAGACAGGTGGATCTCTGTGAGTTTGAAGCCAGCCTGCTGGTCTACAAAGTTGAGTTCCAGGTAAGCTGGGGCTAAGGAATTCCCTGTCTCAAAAACACAGACACACAAATATATAAATATATATATATATATGAAATTAGAGCAGACTGGCTGTGCCAGAAACCCAGGGAATTATCAACCCAATCTTTTTGTTAACAGCATAGAGACGATACATGATCTTTAAGCACAAGGAATCTAAACAAACAGCAAAAGAAACCTCCCTGTGGAGTATATTCAGAAAGCTTCTCACACAGAGAGAAGAGTTATCTATCCAATCTGGAAAAGATGATCTCCAACTCCCACCACATAATGGGGAAATTATATCTAATATAATTTGCCAGTTTGGTCTTTAGGAAGAGAATGAGACGTATACAAATAACCTGAATGTTTACTATGACTGGACAACTATGACAGTTTGAATGAGAAATGTCCACCAGAGTTGCAAGTATTTGAACACTTGGTATATGGCAACTCAGTTGGTAGCACTGTTTGGGGAAGGCCATGGAACCTTTAGGAAGTGTGGCTTTGTAGAGGAAGTACATCACTCGGGGAGCAGGCTTTGAAAATCCATAGCCTCCTCCCACTTCCAGCTTGCTCTCTCTGCTTTTTACGCCTGCTTGAAGATATGAGCCCTCAGCTTCCTGATCCAGCAGCCTACTGCCATGCCTCCCTCCCAACCCCCATGATAGTCTCATTCCTCTGGAACTGTAATGTAAGCTCAAACTCTTTTTTTATATAAGTTGCCTTGATCATAGTGTTTTATCATAGCAACTGAGAAGTAACTAATACAGCAACTAAAGACAGATATATTAAAATTCAATTGCTAAGGCTGACTCAAGCCTTTAGTCCCAGCACTTGGGAGGCAGAGGCAGGTAGAGCTCTGTGAGTTCAAGGCCAGCCTGGTCTACATAGGGAATTCCAGGCCAGCTGGGCTACAGGGAGACCATGTCTCAAAAAGGAAAAAAAAATCATCAATTGCTAAATCCCCTTTCTGAATACATTTTTTAAAAGACAGATCCTTGGGCAGGGGATGTAGCTCAGTTAATAGTGTGCCTTCTTAGTATGCACAAAGCCCTGCGTTTCACTCCTAACACTGCTGCATAAAACTGAGCATGGTGGCACATGTCTATAATCCCAGTACTTGGGAGGCTGAAGCTGGAGGATCAAAAGTTCAAGGTCATCCTCAGCTGCACAGTGAGTTCAAGGCCAGTGCAGGCTTTATGAGACTCTGTCTTTATGAAATTAAATCATTGAAAGGACTTGGTCTTACCACGTTACCCAGGCTGTCAGGCTAGATTCCAATCCCTGGGCTTCTGCCTTAGCCTCTAAGTAAATGGGACTACACACAGGTGTCACTGTGTCCAGCTTGAACAAGTTTCCTTTCAAGCCTACACAGAGGGTTCCAAGATACCTGCAAGTATTAACAAGATGCTTGTGAATACAGAATATAAATTGTTCAAAATGCAACTCTTTTTTGGGGAGTCTTTTTGAGACAGGGTCTCCCTGTAGCCCCAACTGGCCTGGAGCTTGCGATGTAAACCAGGCTGACCTTAATCTCACCGAGATTCATCTGTCTTTGCCTCCCAAGTGCTGGGAATTAAAGCCACCATGTCCAGGTTCAGCTCATTTTAAAATATATATATTTTTATTTTTATTTTATTTTATGTGTTTGAGTACATTGCCTGTGTGTATGTAAGTGCACTCATGTTGTGCAGTGCCCATGGGGGTCAGAAGAGGCCATCAGATACCCTGGAACTGAAGTTATGGATGGTTGTTAGCTACCATGTAGGTGCTGGGAATCAAACCTGGGTCCTCTGCAAGAGCAGCCAGTGTGCTTAACCACTGAGCCATCTCTCCAGCCCTCAACTCATTTTTTCCATACATAAACTTTTTAAACTGAGGCTGAAGTCTGATGGATTCCAGATTTTTATTTTTTCATCCAGAGACCATTACTCAGTAATGTAAATCTCCAAATCAACATTTACAAAATCATATTGGGGAGAATTACAAGATTTTTTTTCCTTAAATGAATTTGTTGGAAAGGTGGCTCAGCAGTATTGCTCTTGAAGAGAATGGGGGGCAGGTCCAGCACCCATGTGGCTACCCACAACTGTCTAACTCCAGTTCCACGTTTCTGACTCCTTCTTCTGGCCTCCTGGGGCACTGAATACGCATGGTGCACACATGCAGGCAAACACATACATTTATCTTTTTAAAAAATTTCTTTAAAGAAAAGAAAGAAATGAATTTATTTACAAAGTGTTTAGTGGAGCCATCCACGGGAGCTCCAGTAACTCCCCAGATTATGTCACTGAAGACAAAGACTTCCCCTCCCCAGCAGCCATCAATTGCCATCAGCTCCCTTCAGGGGCCTGAACCCCACCAGCCCTCCCTGACAGAAGGCCCTGGTTGCAGAAAATCAGAAGTCCTCTGAAACTGCTGCCAAGCGTGACCTCTTACCCTCCCCATTCACAGTTGTCACGCGCTGCGCTTGAACAGATAAGGTTGAGTCCTGCTGGAGGTCTGGCACTGGTCTATTTTCCCTGCTTTCCTTCCCGCTCTCTAAATTCTAGCATCTATGAAGGTTTAGAGGCTCAGCGGCGGCCGCTGTGTCCATGAGTGTCACCCCACGCCACGCAGGCAACACAGCTTTTCATTCTCTTCCCCATCCAGCTCCTACATTCTTTCCAGGGTGAACCCACTACTTTTGTTTTGCTAATGGGCACTTCAAATAATCCTGAATATTGTTTAGACCCGTAGACTAGTGCCGCCCTCTGCCATAATCAAAGAAACTTCTCTCTCCAGTGGAGCGTAGTTCATGCAAATATTCGTGGCTGGCTGAGGTGCTGAGGACAAGCGAGAGCTGCATGCTCCACCTAGCACGAGACACCCTCATCACCGCCGCAAGACTTGGGGAACATGGTGGAAGACATGGTGGAAGATGGGGCTGAAACAACGGTGGGGCGTCATCTGCACCCATTACCACTGTCGTGGAAGAAACAGACGAGTGCACAGCGCCAGGGTTCCAGGCATCAGCAGTAAGAGCCCTACGCAGACCCAGCCTCAGTTCCACGTTAAGAATACTTGAGCTGGAGAGATGGCTTAGCGGTTAGAGCACCGGCTGCTCTTGCAGGGGACCCAGGTTCGACTCCCAGCACCCACATGGCAGCTATCACCCATCCGCAACTCCAGTTCCAGGGGATCTGACGCCCTCTTTTGACCTCCTCGGGCACTGCACGACGCAGGTGCACTTACACACATGCAGGCAATACATTCGTGCACATAAAATAAAAACGAGTAGTAAAAACAATATTAAAACAAAGAGTGGACACCTGGGCCTCGTGTTCCAAGTCCGGCTTCCCGGGAGCGGCGGGTCCGAGGGCGGCGGGCCGACCCGAGTGCGGCCGGGACCTCCGAGCTTCAGGACGCCTCTCCCGGAGCAGCCCCCGGGGCGCGTCCGCTCAGCAAATCGCCACGGTCCCCGCGAAGACTCGGACAAGCCGCCCCGCCTCGCCTTCCTCGCCTCTCTCGGGCCCGCGGAGGGCGTGAGCGCGGCGGGCGTCTGTTAGTCCCTCCCGTGTACGCGGCTCTCAGCGGGGTCCTCCCGCGCCCCCAGACCCCGCCAGCCGGGGTTTCCCCGCAGTCCCCTCACGCGCTTGCTCCCGCCCCTCCGCCACACAGCTCCCCGATTGCCTTCCGCTGATTGGCCGGCGCGACGGGCGCTCGGGGGCGGGGCCAGCCGGCGAGTGGCGGCCTGAGGGGAGGTGCGCGCGTGCGGAGCTGCTTTAGGTCGCAGGGAAGGCGGAGAGGCGGGGGGCGCGGAGGGCGGCGGGGGCCCGAGCCCGGGAGCCCCGAGGCATGGCGCGACCGGACGATGAGGACGCGGCGGCCTTGGCGCCCGGGCACCCGCCGGCGAAGGGATACCTTCCGGTGCCGAGCGGCGTCCCCGCCGGGGAGAACCGGCCGCGGAACGGGGTCCCCGCGCTCCGCCTGGTCGCTTCGGGAACCCCAGGCGGGCCGCACGGCATGCTGGGCCCGGAGGAGGAGAGCGCGGCGCGGCTGCTGCC